AGGACTAGTGCCTCTTACCACAGTCGATGTCAACCCAAATTCACCTTTTTACTTCTGCCTGTCTGCATCTGCTACAGGCAAACCTCCAAGAAGGTAGAGACCAGGCATGGCTACTATGAGATAAGGAACCTAGAGCATAAAATCCTCTCAACACCTGACTGTGGAAAGGGCTGTGTACCATGTCCCTGCCACAGGCCAGACAATGAGACAAGCTGAACACCTATAGGACTCAGCATGCTCTGTTAGATGAAGACATTAAGACCCAGAGAGACCAAGTATGACAACTGCCACATTCCCTGGAAGTTCAAGAAATCCAGCACTTACATAGAGCCATAATACACTGGCAGAACTCCTCAAGGAAAAACCAAAACCAAAGCCAAATACAAGGGTGTGATCAGGCAGGGGTCTGAAGGACATTGAATATTCCCAACCCTGGAAAAGCACAAACTGAGGGACACCAGGCAGGTACAAGCCAATTTTGCTAAGCCTGTTTCTCTGGGGAAACCTAAGAGTTCCCATATCATTGTTTCAAAGCCACCAGCTTAGCAATATAAGTGACTTTAAGGCACTGAATAAAGAGAATCAGCCATAACTACTGATTCTATGGAGTGTTTTATGTACTGGGCACTGTACTGTCTCATCAGACCCTCCCAAGGATTGAATACAGGTGACTCAGCACTTAATCTCAGTTTGTGGTGAGAAAACAAGAGCCTCATCAGTTGGTATCCTCACCCAAGATCACCTGAGTAAAAAGTAGGAAGCCAGACCCCAGTCAGTACCCACATTGTAAAAATCCCACCTCTGTATACATACAGCAGGGTCTCAATTACAGGTTAGTCTAAGCCTCTCTTCAGAAACACGTCATCCTTATCACCTTTTGCTCCACCTTCCTGACCATTCTACCATCAATAGTGTGACATAGAACACCTTCTAGACGCACCTCCTCCCCATGCCACTCTAAGGTTTGCACAGGCCATTGTTTTGAAGCATGTGAGGAAACTCTTCATTTACAAGTAGAAGTACCATCTACACATGACCTGGCACCTGCTACCAGATATGGCACAGAAGGGGGACTGAATAAATGTGTCTTGAACTAAATTGAGATCAGTTGAATGAAAGGAAATAGTCAGCATGTAATCTGGCCATGTTTTGTGATTTTCTAGCTGCCAACTAACATGATCATTCTCTCCAAGAAGCAGTTATGCTTATGCCAATACCCTCGGCTATTCTGTTCACTTGCCACTAGCCTCCAATTGCTTAAAGGAGAGAAAGAACATCAAGAGGCAGAAGGAAGGAGAGGACATAAGAACAGCTACAAACTTGTCACTTTGGAAGAAAAGTGGACTCTTTATAGTGACAAGGTTACCATTTAGCAAACAGCAAAAGCATCTTGCTCTATCTTGAAGACTAGAAGTAGGTCTTCCCTCAAAATAACCTTCCTTCCAATGAGACTACTAGCTTATAATTTATGTTTCTTTTTGTGCACAAATTTGAGTGTCATAAAAATGGTTAAAAAGTCTTTCTATGGTAGCTTTTTCTAAACTTTTATGAACATCTGCCACATTCACTCGAAGTTTAAAAAATCCTGGCACATATGCAAAGGCATAATAAGGTGCCTATAGCTTTCAAGAAAAAAATAACAAGCCAGTCAAAAATAAGCCTTTTGCTGAATTGCCAGTAAGAAAACTAGTGTAGTGAGGAGCTGGGCCTCCCCAGCCCCTTCCCTTAGAGAGCTTCTCAGCTGCTGGTACACACTCCTCACTAGGTATTGAAGAACTACAGGAAAATCTCAGGACACGGCTGCAGCACTGAAGGCCATATCAGAGTCACATGAACCCAGCAAGCAAACACAAGCAGGCCCTAAGCCTGAACTGAAGTTCAGGAGACCTAGTGAAAAAAATTCCAGGATTTGGTGGTGGGGGAAGGGGACAATGCCCACAAAAAACATTGTTGATGTTGTTGTTGTTCAGAAAACTACCTGGAGGCTGAAACAATTTACATATTTTTTTTGTATTGACCACACCAAGAGTTCAGTACAGCAGGTTCACTGCTTCTGAACCTTCTTACCCAAAACCCTTGAAAGGCTGGACAGACAGACTTGCACCTGCTCGCTGAAGTGCTTCAAATTTCAGCATATGCTGCATTACATGCTTTACTAGAGAAAAGGATTGTTCTGTATTACTTAAAGTCAAATAAGGTAAAAAAAAAAAATGTTTTTAAACCTCTTTTGAGTGTATGGACACATCTGCTCAATCATTTTCCACTTTATCCCTCTGAGATGGGATCTCTTACACAACAAAGAGGCTGGAGACCAGCAAGACCCCATGACCTCCAAGTCTCTTTGCCCAATAGTGCTGGGGTTATAGGTAGCAGTGGCCTGCTACTGCTTCTGAACCTTCTCACCCAAAACTCTTGAAAGACTGGATAAACAGCAACTTATAAGAGATGATGGCACCGAGTGACTTCCAAACAGTGATGCCTGTTGGAGGGCTTTAAAATGTGCTCAGTTACAGCTCTTCAAGCACTAAGTTTGTCCTTTTTTGGAATCTGTGGCGCAAATAATATCATCCACTTGGTATCCTGCTACAGAAGTTATGGACACCAAAGATGATGCTGTCTTTGCTTGGATGGGATTCATACTCCAGAGGAAGTACTGTAGGACATGCAAACTGCTATTATTTAGAGTAAGAGATTCCACAAATGAAAGATAAACAAGAACAGAACACTTCATGGAAGAGCCAGAGAAGGGCTGGGGATGTATAGGATCTATTTAGTTTAAGCACTGGCTCATATATGTTCTTACAGTGATGGGGGCAGAAGGCTTGACAGCAGTGGAGAAGCCATGGTGAGTTCAGGGGCAGTGTAGAATGAGAATGGAAGGTGTTCTGTAGTGACAACACCTGGCAACCCACATCAGGATGGGACTATGGACTGAACCCTGTTCTCATTTTTGTACCTATTAAGACTGAGCACAATGCTTGGAACATACAAGGCCCACATTTTGCTATCAAATCAGTGAATTGGGCTTTGTAAGAATCTAAGAAAGCCAAGGAAAAGAGCCAAGGAAGACAGTGGGAACAGAACAAGATTAGAGACGCTTTATATAAAGACTTATGAGTATTTATCGAGAATGCTTGGTGTGCCCCAACTTTGGAGCATCTGCAGGCAGTACTTCTCAAGGGACCAGGAACATCAGAAAGAAATTGGGTGTTCAGAATGTGTGTCTGCATGTACATGCCCACACTGGCATGCAAATAATACACTGTTGGGGAAAGAAATTCAGTGGATACTTGAATTTGGACCTGAAATCCACAGAGAGAGGCAGAGCAGAGCAGTGTTATAATCACAGAGCAGCATCACTGATTTGGACTCAGTGCTAAAGAAAGAGCATCAAACAAGATGGCTGGAGGGCATGAGGAGAAGGAAAGGAAGCCAAGACCAGATACTTTTGCTGAAGGTACTAGAACACAAGAAGGGTCTGGAAAAGCTTGGGATGGAACAGACTGGAAGGCAGGAGGGAACTGAAGATGCTGATAGACTCAATAGTCTTTAGTCCTTTAAACTCTAAAGCAGTTGGCATGCAAGATCCATTAGAAAGGATTTACTTTTAATTTTTTTTATATGGGAGCTTTGAATAGATCCCCATACTTAACAAAGGTAAAACACGCAAGCAATTTCTTCAGTCTGATCTAAATACATCATCTAAGATAGTCCATAAACTGTATGTGCTTAGGGCTGGGTGATGACAGGGAGGGACTGTTAACAGAATGTAGGAGCCACATGGTCGTCCTGTCAAATTAGAAATTTGAGCAGATTTCTGTGGTCTATTTTGATCAAGATTCTCAATGTCAAACAAACAGGTTTTTTGATAACCAACTCATTTCATTTTCGTAAGCACAATAGCAGAGTGTGCAACAGTTAGTGGCGAAGCAGGTGGTCCTCGTCGACGTGCAGTGAAAGGAGCAGAAAAGAAGTAGCACTCCCTGTAAGATATACTAAGCACATGGCAGTCGGGGCTGGAGACTTCCTCTCAGAGTCCACACTGTGCCACATGGGCAAGCTGACCAGCTCCACCCAGCTCTGGGCAGTGCAAATGTCTGTTCTTTCCCAAGGAAGAAAAGGGAGGTCAAGTCTACAAACTAAGGGTCATGAACAAAAGCATAGAAAGTCCACCAAAAGTGATGCTGTCTGATTGGTACAGCCACATTGAAAGCAATCTGGCAGCAGACCCACAGCTTTGACCAAGCATTTCTGCTCTAGGGATTCTGCACTAGGGAAATAATACAGATAAAAAATGCAGATAAAGTCTTATGCATAAAGATGTTTGTTGAAGTGCTATTTATAATAGTGGAAAAAAAAATCCAGCAACTGAAGTGCTCAATGGTATGAGAGTGGAAGTTGTAGGAATGACGGAACAAATGGAAAACTGCTGTTACTGAGGGTAGATAAAAAGGCAGAAATTCTCACACCATAGCTCTCATAGGTAAAGTTATAACATTATATGCAATACACATCTACAAGATAAAGACTAAATGGAAAAACAGTAAAATGTTAAAAGCAGTTCATTCTAGAATAATGGCAATGTGGGTAATTTTAATTTTCATAACTTCTATAAACCATTTGTATCACATCTCCTACCATGAAAATGTAACACCATTACAGTGATTCAGAATAAATGTCCTTATGAAAAACAAAGCCTTTCTGTTCCATTATCCAAACCCAAATGGGGCCATTCTCCCTACCATTTTAACCTCATTCATTCACTCACGGAAAACCCACTATCACCAACCACAGTGAAAAAAGCCCAGAAGGCAGAGTCCTTTGGAACGGTCTGGGTTGATGGATGGAGTCTGTGAATTGAGAAAGACTGGGGATGCACATGAGTAGCTGCCTCAACCACTCCTATGTACAGAGCCACACATTCTGAGATCCCATTTTTCTGCTACACAAAGCTAAACCGAAGTCTACATTAGGGAGCAGGGAGAACAGGGCCCACTTACCTCCATTAGACTGAAATGGACTCCTATGAGGTAGGGCATGGGAGCACTGCGAAGAGAAACAGACACACAGCTGCTTTAATGTCTGTTGCTTCCGACGGAAAATTACAGATGGCTCACTATTTAGAGAAAAGCTGTTTTAATAAACGTATGCACAGTTACATTTCCTTTCACAACAAAAATCTTAATGTGACATTTTGTTTCCAAGCCTAGAAACGTCAAAGAATGTAGGCAACCCTGGGAACAGCATGGCTAGCAGGAAGAGCATCAACCTTGGTGTCAGCTACCAACTCCAAACAGTAGCTAAGTGGCTTACTGGCCTCAGTCACCTTATCTTTATAAAGGATTCTTGGCTCAATCCTAACTACTGTTAAGAGATGAAGATAAACACAAACAGTACAGAGGTACTGATACTAATTAAACTCAACTATCATAATGGAAAAAAATGAAGGTTGACTAGAGAGCACAATAGCTTTTGAAGAATCACCCCTTACTGGCTATGTTCCACAATGAAGACATATATCCTGATGTTTGGAGTGTTCAGCAAGCTTCTGCATGCTATGGCACACACACAAGGTTAGGCTACTAGACAATAGAGACGTCCACTATCTGCTTCCTTTGCAAAGAAAGTAAGTTCAGAGGTTCTAAAATATGGGCATTCTGTAGTAGCTGGTCCTCCCTTCTTTTTCAGGAGAGTGTGTGTATACATAATTCATTTATGATGTTTTCCTCTGGTAATAAATGTGATAATAAATGGTTATATGCAGTCACTTTTCCAACCCACATAATAAACCCCATTTTACAAAGAAGAAAATTGACGAAAAGAGGCTAGACCACTTATCTAATGACATACAGCCAAGCAAGCAGTAAGCCCAAGCTGACCAGTTTGGTCCCAGATTGCTAAACACACCTTGTCTTTCGTAGGAGTAAAAGAGGAAGGGCAGGAAGCAGGGAGGACAGAAATGATTAGCAACTTTCCTGGCTATCTTCCCATGTATATCATATACCCTGTAACACCAAAAAGGACTAGTTTTCAATGAAATTAGAGACAAGACACTTGGCTTGGACTGGGATGTGGGAGTAACAGTGGAGGAAGAAGGATCTACACAGTGGGTGTAGACCTGGGGAAACAATGAGGCAGGGGCTGACTGCAAACCAGGAGCTCATGCTGCAGCTGGAAATAGGTGGGGAGGCAACTAAGACTCTTAGATATTAGATGCAAGCTTAAAAATCGCTCAAACATTCAAAAAAGAAGAAAGATTGCATTTCCCTCATTACAGTTCAACAAATAAAATTCTTCAAGCAAAATCATCCTTTGGAATACAAAATGTCCTCCTTACTATAGCAGTCACATATCTCAGAAGTCTGGAAGATAGACTTGAACATTAGCTGCACATCCTGAGAAGAATTCTTCTAGAAGGTTTTGTATTTGATAATAGCCAAAGAAAGAATTGTACAAACAAACTAAACTGGAGAGAAACAGAGTTGTCTTTTCTTCTATTATCTTCTTCTGTCCATTTTCCCCTCTTCAAGATACCTGCAGGGCACATGAAGTTTCTCTTTGCTTTGAGAGGCCAAGAAATTCCCTGCGATATTTTTGCCCTAAACTGTAAGCAATTAGCTTAGCCGCCAGCCCCACAGATGCTTCAGCTTCCCAGTGTGCCTGGCTCTGCTGCCTGAGTTTTCTCCAGTGTACACCAAAATGAATGTGTTTCTAATTAAGTAGCTTCAGAAACACGACAACTTCAATGTCAAAAATACAAAGTCTGAACCTCGGCAGGAAGTCTTAAGACTGCAAATGTCTCATCTAGTGGAACCTTGCCTAATGTAATGAAAGGAAGCAGGAAGAGCGCAAAATTCCAGAAAGAAAAAAAATGGCCACTCATTAATATGCCCAGAGCCTGACACAGGCAGAGAAGCACAATATTTAACTAAATCTTATTGACGTCCCAGGTCAATGTTTCAAATAGAATTTCAGAACCAAAATTCCAAAAAGTGAATTAGAAGACAGAAGAGTCAAACAACTGTGATAAAAAGGTAAAAATAATCCCAACAGCCAAAGCCTCTGGTGTAATTTAACCACAGACTGTTCTCTAAAGAGAAAACGTTCTCTAGAAATGGAAATGTGTAGGTTTTAATGCCATGCTACTTCAGTGTACATGAGAGTCTGACAAGAGATGGGGGAAACCTTATGAAAGTGATTTAGAGATGCCAGAAGGGACAGAGTAGGTTTCCCTCTTTGACACTGCTAGGTAGGCTTTGAGTAATTATGGGTGTATTCTAGAAAAGCAGCTTCATAGCCAATAACTGTTAGGCCTGCATAGTCTGTATTTAGACAACATTTAAAACACACGCACTCTGTGCAAGCAGTTCTGTGCTTTGCAGGAAAGCGAATCTGGACAAATAGCTTCATCTATTTTTTGCTTATTATCATTTGCTTCCAACACCTCAAATGCTTCCCAGAATCTACATTTTTTTTTGCATTACAAATATGTTATTACAAATTCTAAGTGGGGGTGGGGGAAGGAAGAAAAAGGAAGCCACCTCCTTAACATCTCAATGTGGCAAGTACATAAGTCGGTGATTCTAGGTGTGTTCTGCAGGTAAATTCCATTCTCTATATAACTCTTACATTGCAACTACTCATACATTTTCTTGGACACCCTTTTCTTTGCCTGTTTACTATGAGTGGCAACTTTGGGAGGGAACCCATCTAACTGCCCTGGTATGGAATCTGACCTGGGACAGACAGCACAGCTCATCTAGGCACATTCTTCCTCCCAGAACAGGCACGCACATAGACTGTAGACCTATTCTTGGTTCTGCTACCCCATTCATTATTACTGTGCTTTCACAATTTATTTAATTCTTTCCCCCCAGAAAACTAGAGCCCTCTTAATTATGTTCCCCCTGAGGTGAGCTGTTACTAATTGGAAATGTGGCAGGTAAAATAAAGGAACACTGGTTGGTCAAACACCTAACACACAGATCCCCAGACAATGGAGGAGTGGCTGGGGAGGAAAACCCACCACAGGTGAGCACATCTGCCTAGATATTAGGAAGGAATACAGACAGGGACAGCACAGGGATTTGGGAAGCCCACTGTTCCTTATAAACCCCACAAACTACTCAGCCAGCTTCACTGTTTTCAGGCGACACACCCACCTTTGTTCTCAGAGGTACAATGCCTTCATACCCAACGCTCTTCTCAGGCAAAAGGGAGCCCATGAGACTGCCCTCAATTTGTTATTTTTAAAAGGCAAGGAAAGACCTCAAAGAGGCCTCACTCACTCAAGCTTCCCATTTCTTTCTTGTTTTCAGTGAAACAATGGTGTAGGAGGTCCTTCTGTATTTCTGTTGCTTTTATTGGTTAAATAAAGAAGCTGCCTTGGTCTTTAGATAGGGCAAAACTTAGATAGATGGGGAGACAGAACTGAATTCGGGGAGGAAGAAAGCAGGGTCAGAGAGAGCTGCCATGGAGCCAGCCGCCAGGTCAGACATGCTGAATCTTTCCCAGTAAGCCACAACATAGTGGTGAAATACAGATTAATACATTCAGTCTGAGGATTCCTAGAGACAGGAGCTCAGCCTTTTGGTCTGAGGATTTTGTAGAGGCAAGAGAAATCGCCTATATTGTTTTGGAAGTCTCTTGGACAACCCTACAACTTCTGCAGCTAAAGCTCAAGAATCACTGTGGAGGCGTTACTATTGCTCTGAAGAGTCACCATGACCACAGCAACTCTAATAAAGGGTTCACATGAGCAGAGTGAAGCGCCCAGTCCCCCATTTCCAATAAGAATCATGTGAACAACCAGAAGACCCATAGGAGAGGTGAGTGTGTTCCAGACCGGCAGGCGGACTCCCCGGAAACGGAGCACAGACACCCTGCAACTCCCTAAACTCTCTGGGTATTCAGCAGGGGCTTCTCTCCCCAGCTACTGCCTCTCTCTTCCTATCCCATCCCACCTTGCACACAGGCGCCCCTTCCCTTCATGGGGGACATAGGATCCCCTAACTCAGCCTGCTTTGGAGCTGAGGATCTGGGGAAAAAGTGGGGAGTGTAAGGGTGCAGGAGTTCCTTTGTTTCACTGAGCCTGCACTCTGAGAGCCCACCCTTCTATCTGAGAGGTTCCTGGCCAGCAAGTAGGCCTGACCCTGTACCATAAGACCCATTGGAGAGGTGAGTATGTTCCAAACCAGCAGGCAGACTCCCCGGAAACGGAGCACAGACACCCTGCAACCACCTAAACTCTCTGGGAATTCAGCAGGGGCTTCTCTCCCTGGCTACTGCCTCTCTCTTCCTATCCCATCCCAACTGGCACGCAGGCACCCCTTCCCTTCATGGGGGACATAGGATCCCCTAACTCAGCCTGCTTTGGAGCTGAGGATCTGGGGAAAAAGTGGGGAGTGCAAGTGAACAGGAGTTCCTTTGTTTCACTGAGCCTGCACTCTGCAAGCCTGCCCTTTTGTCTGCGAGGTTCCTGGCCAGCTAGTGGCCCTGATCCTGTACCAGAAGATCTATTAGAAAACATTTGAAGGAAGAGATGGGCAGGCACTAATGCAAGGATTCTTCCAACAATCTGAAAAACAACATGATAACACCAGAACCCATCGAACATACAAAAGGAAGACTTGAACACCTTAATCCAGAAGAAGTAGAAAAAATTGACATTATGAAAGCGATAGAGTTCCTTAAACAGGATGTGAAAAACTCCCTTAAAGAAATGAATGAGAAGAATAACAAAAAGTTTGAAGAAAAGAATAAATCCATAAAAGATACCCTAGGAAACCAAGGAAAATCAATCAAACAGATAATGGAAACAGTTCAAGAATTGAAAACTGAAATGGAGGCAATGATGAAAACACAAACCGAGGGCTGGCTGGATATGGAAAATCTAGGTAAACGAACAGAGATGACAGAGACAAGCATAAGCAACAGAATACAAAAGATAAAAGAAAGAATCTCAGATGCTGAAGATACCATAGAGAAAATAAACGCACTGATCAAAAAAAACCCAGCAAATCCAACAAATTCTCTTCACAAAACAT